AGGCGACTATCTCCCAAACAGATAAGGTGGGCACAATATTTTCAGCGTTTCTCTTTCCGGTTGCGGTATGTTCCTGCTGGGAAAAACTTCCTGGCTGATGCACTGTCCCGGATGCCACAGTATAATAGCAAGCGAGAGGAAGTGATAGAACCTCTAATTGCACCTTCCCAAACCCTATTAAGACTTACAGAAGTAGATGGTCACTTACGTACCGAGTTTAAAACAGCTTTACAACAGGATCGATGGGTAATCCAAAACCCCTCTATGGTTAGCTATAATGATGGAATAGCGTGGAGGGAGAATAGAATATATGTTCCAGAACGTTTACGGAACGTAGTGTTATGCAGGTGCCATGATGCCAAATCAGCAGGCCATTTTGGGTATTTAAAAACTCTACACCTTGTGAGGAGGCAATTCTGGTGGCCACGAATGCGTAAGGACATAGAAACATACGTAAAAGGTTGTACAACCTGTGCAACCGCCAAACCCTGGTCTGGACGACCGTTAGGACTATTACAGACAGTCGCGAATCCTAGCAGGCCTTGGGAAGAGATAGCTATGGATTTCATAGTAGATCTCCCCCCTAGCCATGGCCACACTGTAATTTGGACGGTGGTAGATCTGTTTTCGAAACAGGCCCACTTTGTGCCATGTAAAAGCATACCATCCGCGCGACAATTAACCGAACTCTTTTTGCAACATATCTATCGTCTCCATGGAGCACCTAAGAGGATTATATCCGACCGCGGTGTTCAATTCACCTCTAAGTTTTGGAGACGATTTGTCCGTTTAATTGGGTCCTCTCAAGGGTTAAGTTCAGCATTCCACCCGAGCACTAACGGGGCGGCTGAACGGGCCAATGCCATGGTCGAAAGATATATCAGATGCTACGTTTCATACCAGCAGACGAATTGGTCAGGACTCCTGCCTTTCGCCGAAGTGGCATATAACAACATACCCCACCGCAGTACTGGGTTCTCCCCTTTCCAAGTAATATATGGCCGAGAGTTTTCAGCCATTCCAGAGTTAGATCCCCCTATGACAGACGGTGACACGCCACGCAGTTGGGCCGATAAAATTAGTAATGTATGGCCAAGTGTAAAAACAGCATTACAAAAGGCAGCAGACGAGTACAAAAAATATGCAGACAAGAAAAGAGCTGATCCAAAACCATTCCGGATAGGAGACAAAGTATACTTATCTACGAAATACCTTAAACTCCGACTGCCCAGTAAAAAATTAGGACCTAAATATATAGGACCATTTCCCATAACACAAGTCATCAATCCGGTAACCGTAGCTCTTAAACTTCCCCCTCTGTTCAGTAGGATACATCCCGTATTCCATAGCAGTTTGGTGAAACCGGTGACGATAGAAAGGCCAGGTACCTCAACTACTCCACCGGGTCCCGTGCATACCAACCAATATGAGATAGACCGAATATTGGACTCCAGGGTTCGTAGGGGGATGTTACAATATCTTGTGCGGTGGAAAGGATACCCTGTAACACAGGCCTCGTGGGTGGCAGCACCCGATGTTCACGCTGCCCGATTGATACAACGGTTCCATCGGAAATACCCAGCCAAACCTAATGCAGGATCGTAACAGTGACTAACATCTGTATGCTTTCCATTTATAGGTGAGCTCCTGGTAGGGGGGGCCGCCTGTCGAGTCCTGCCGGAGCTCGCCATCAATGGGGTGTGTGGGAGACGAAGGAGTGGAGATAAGCAGCCGCAGAGAACACACAAACAGTTCCTGGATAGCAGCATTCAGGGCAATGATTGATGACGTTGCTGGGCCTCTCCGATTCTGCTGTCCTCGCTGCTCGCAGCTGTTACTGTTAAGGGAGTGGGGGGTGCTTGATTGATAATCACCGGATGTATGTTTAAGGGGCTGAGTTTTTGTTAAATAGCGCTGTGGTGTGATTACACCCAGCGCTGACTTTGAACCAAAACACCGACTTGTACTTTACTTTTGACTGCAAGCTTATCATTGCCAAAGTAAACCCTGATTCTCTGTGTGTTACTGGTGATTATTTCCTATCGCAGTTCTGAACGAACGACAAGCCGAGAACTACTATGTTAGCAGGAGCTGGAGCAAATGACGGGAACTCACTCTTCCACATAGCAGCACTCGGGTCTCAAACGCCGGCTTGCTAATCATCAACCCAGCGTCCTAAACTTGTGAGCTCACCATGGTCCCATTATAAACCATTAAATTACTCCCACAACAAGCTTGAGGAGAGAAGCTAAGAGAAGCCCTTCTGAGTCAGAGTAGCCCTTTTGGTGCTTGGTGTCCCACAGTGGCCAATTAGATGCCTTTGGGATGCTCACAGGAGATGGAAACCTCTCCCGCTCCTAACATTGTTTTCCTTCAGAGACTGCTGTCCTGCAACCCAGAAGGAAGACTAGCTAACTACTCAAATGCTCTCTACCTAGGGCTGCCTTTGAGAGCCTTGGTAGTACAGTAGTCTAAAGCACCCTGTTATTAAGACCAGCTGCCTGCAATTACTGCAGGTTAGAATCTCGCCAGGCTCAAGGTTGACTCAGCCTTCCATCCTTTCTAAGGTAGGTAAATTGAGGACCCAGTTGTGGGGGCAATAAGCTGACTTTGTATAAATATACAAAAGGATGAAGGCTATTGCTTAGCGCATTGTAAGCCACCCTGAGTCTCCGGAGAAGGGCGGCATATAAATCAAATTTAAAAAACAAACAAACAAACAACCACTCGAAGGCTTCAGCTGGTGCAGAATGCGGCTGCGTGGTTTGTGATGGGAGCGTCCCGACACTCCCATGTTACACCCCTCCTGCGCGACTTGCATTGGTTACCGGTTGCCCTTCGGGTGAGGTTCAAGGTGCTGGTTATCACCTATAAAGCCCTTCATGGCCTAGGCCTGGGATATTTGTCGGACCCCCTGCAGCCAGCGACAATCCCCAATCGCCTGGTGCGTTCCCACGGACAGGGCCTTCTCAGGGTGCCGTCGGCCAGACAGTATCAGCTGGTGACCCCCAGGGAGAGAGCTTTCTCTGTGGGTGCTCCCACTCTCTGGAACCAACTTCTTTGGAGCTCCGAATGGCCCCTGACCTTCTTTCGTTCCACCGCAATTTGAAGACCTGGTTGTTCCGCAGCCTGGACTGATGGGATGGGGGGGGGGTGTTTAATGAATTTTAAATTTTAAATTGTTTTAAATCGGAACTTTAATTTTATATCGCTTTTAATGAGGAATTATGCATTTTTACTGTTGTGAGCTGCCCTGAGTCCTTGGAGATAGGGCAGCATATAAATTGCATTAAATAAATAAATAAATAAATAAATAAATAAATAAATAATTCTCAATAGACCTGTTATTTGTGGATTCATAAATCACTTTAGCTTTTGCCCATCTCAGCATCTTTTGGTGTTGAATTTCATAGATTTCATCGTGGGAAAGGTTTTATTTTGTCTGTTTTACCTCTTGCTGTCACATTCAGGAACTGACCCCTGGTTTTAAAAGAATGAGGAAAACTTCCTATTCAGGGGATCGGGGAAGTCAAAAAAGGCAAGATGGCAACCCCAACCAACTTGTGACCAAAGTCATAAAAAGGGGTGGGTCTTCAATTGCATGGTCGTGGCATCCACCTTGATTTTTGGGGACCTGTTTCCTATGGATAATTCTGTTCCAACCCCCTTTCTTTATGCCATAAATGATTGTGTATGTCTCAATTATGAACCTTTTTTTTAGTTTAAAGCACGTTCAGTGAAAGGAAGCCACTGAAGTGCCCTGATCTTCTTAATTCATGTTAATTTAATTGATTATGCACTTACGCACTTTTCCAATTTAATTTATTTAATTTAATTTAATTTAATTTATTTATTTATTTATATCACACTTGTATGCTGCCCATCTCACTGAAAGTGACTGTAGGCGGCTTTTCTAAATGTTTGTCTAAATTTTTCTAAATGTTTTGATCAGAACAGTTTGCAGTATTCCTGATATCAACATAGTATAGTATAGATTTGTCTAGGTGAGCAGTGTGTTGGCCCAGAGGTGGAGCTCTCACATCACTATCAGGAGGATGTGAGTTCAGTCCTGGGTAGGGCAGATATTTCTCTCTCTGGGCATAATGAGCAATTGTCTGCTGTGAACTTTGTATAGGTGTCAGGAAGGGCATCCAGCCAGTAAACTTTAGCTCTGTTCAGTCACCCTGATTCTATCTCCATGTAAGGGATTATTACCAGGTTGTTAAAAGAAAAAAAAATTATCTAGGTGATGATGATGGTGAACCTATGGCATAAGTTTCAGAGGTGGCACCCAGAGCCCTCTCTGCTGGCACGCGCGTCGTCGCCCCAGGTCAGATCTCTGTGGTGTTTCTTTCATGAGCTTCTGTTTCCCTGCAAACGACGAAACAGAAGCTCATGAAAGAAAAAGATCTTACCTCTTGCTGTGTTGCCGGTGTTGGGATGCCCCGCCTTCCACCGGCCAGCTGGTCTTCGGGTCTCTGCTGCGCATGTGAGCATGTCCACGCATGTGCGTGCACATGTTGCCGCATGCATGCATTCGCACGCATACACATCTTTCTGTTTGGGCATGCGCGCGCCCACAGTTTAGGCACTTGGTGTCTAAAAGGTTCGCCATCACTGTTCTAGCCTTTTCCAATTCAACAAATCCACTCCTTTCTCCACTCTATCTGAATATTTCCTATCTAATTATGTATTGATAGCTCTGACCCCATCAACATGTATGGAAAGTCAAGATCTCTTTATATTTACTTCATCTGAATCACAGTTTGGTTCAACCACTGCTCCAATTTGATTGGCAATTTGATTACAGTGATAATAATTTAATAGAGATCCTTTCTTCTGAGAGCGCATTTAATGTAAGTTTAAACTAAACTGAACTTGATATCTCAGTTTACTCCTGGGCATGCTGGTCACTCCAAATTCATATCCCTCTCTGTGTTTTCTTGGCCAGCCATGATGGCATTTGGGTAATAGAGTTTTTTCCCTTCCCCCTTTGACAGTGATCAATACCTTTCTCTGAGAGGACCCCGGAATGCCCCCGTTATAAAAGAGAGCGTCCGCTGGAAATTCACCCCTATGGGGTGGGATGCCATCCCTCAAACCTGGTATACCGGTCTGACAAACAGCCACAATCGCGATGCCTGGTACACCATCACTGAGCCCCTGGGCCGAGAGACCTACCACCGCTGGCAGAAGTCCAGTGCCAAACAGGAGAAGGCTCTACCGCCTGGTAAGTGTTTGAGGCAGGAGTGGGCAACTATGGCAATTTTAGGAGCTGTTGGACTTCAACTCCCATAAATTCCTGAGTCAGCATGGCCGGCTCTGGAATTCTGGGAGTTGAAATCCACAGGTCGTAAAGTTGCCATAGTTACTCACTCCTGCCCCCCCCCCCAATCTTTTACTTCACTCTGACCAAATTGTATTATTTTTTTATTTTATTTTTTTTTTTTTAAATTTGATTTATATGCCGCCCTTCTCCGGAGACTCAGGGCAGCTTACAATGCGTTAAACAATAGCCTTCATACTTTTGTATATTTATACAAAGTCAGCTTATTGCCCCCACAAACTGGGTCCTCATTTCACCTACCTTAGAAAGGATGGAAGGCTGAGTCAACCTTGAGCCTGGCGAGATTCGAACTTACAGTAATTGCAGACAGTTGGTATTAATCACAATGCTTTTTTAGTCTGCTGAGCCACCAGGCCCATATTGTTAGAATTGTTATATATTATTTTTATTTTACTACATCTGCAAATAACTCAAGGCGGCAAACATACCCAACATACCTTCCTCCTCCTTTTTTCCCCCACAACAACAACAAGGTGGGTTGTGAGGTGTGTTGAGCTAAGAGAGAGTGATTGGCCCAAAGGCTCCCAGCTGTATTTCATGGCTGAAATGGGACTTGAACTCACGCTCTACTGCTTTCTAACTTTAGCCGTAGCCTTAAGCACTAGACCAAACCGGCTATTACTTAATTAATAATAGTAATTAGTTAAATATTAATTAATATTTTCTGATCATCATAAATTATTATTTAATTAATAGTTGCTTACAGTATATTTAGCAGGAGCCCTGGTGGCACAGTGGTTAGAATGCAATATTCTAAGCAAACTCTGCCCGCAGCTGGGAGTTCGATTCTGACCAGCTCAAAGTTGACTCAGCCTTCCATCCTTCCGAGGACCCAGATTGTTGGGGGCAATATGCTGACTCTGTAAACCACTTAGAGGGGGCTATAAAGCAGAGTTCCCCAACCTTTCTGGGTTGTCGGCCCCGGGGTGGTGGTGGAGGAGCAGGCGCCTTTATGCACAAACGGGACCACACACATGCCATAAATGGGTCCATGAGTGCCCGTGTGACTCGCGCAGTAAAGCCAGCACCCGCGTGATGCTCAAGGTGACACTAGCGCTCATGCGATGCTTGTGCACACGCACACACGCATTCGCACTGGCCAGCCACTCACGCAGCCCGGTGGCCAAAGGCCACAGTCCAGTAGTGGCCCATGGGTTGGGGACCCCTGGTGTAGCTTGAGCAGGGAGTTGGACTAGAACAAAGTTGCCAACATTTCTGGGTTGGTGGCCCGGATGGGGGGGAAGTATGCCTTTACACGCGCATGTGCACATATGAATGGGCCTGTGTGCATGTGCCCCACACAAATGAGGCCACACGCACAAATCGGGCTGTGAGTGCCCGTGCGACACTCGTGGTGATACTAGCAACCGTGTGACGCTCGTGGTGATAGTAGCGCGAGTGGGGGTGCACAGACGCACACATGCACTGGCCAGCCACTCATGCGGCCCGGTGGCCAAGAGGCCACAGCCCAGTAGTGGACCCCAGCCGACAGGTTGGGGACCCATGCTGTAAAGGGCTATGAAGTGGTATATAAGTCTAAGTGCTATTATATCGCTATTTAAGAGTAGAGCAATATCTATTTTTGCCCATAATAACCCCTGGGGACAATTCGCCCAAAAGCTCCCAGGCAGCTTCCTTAGCTGAAGGATTAGAACCAGGGTCTCTCTATCCAGAGAACTCCTGTGGTCAATGACCAGAAGTTGCACCCTCTTCTCCTCCTTCTCCTCCTCCTCCAGCACCTTCACCCTTACACCAAAGGGTCTTTCATCCAGACCATACAAGTTGACCCCACAGTTATTTTGTGCTGCCTGCTAACCAGGGGTGAAATGCTCCCAGTTTGGACCGGATCCCCCGATCCGGTAGCGATGGAGCCGGGTGGTTAGGAGATCCGGTAGCAAAAATTCCTGCCCCCTCCCCTCACATGCCAAGCTGAGCCGCACAATCATCAGAGGCTTTTTTTTTACTTTTAAAAGCATTTTTTCTACAACCTCTTCGGCTGAAAAAATGCTTTTAAAAGTAAAAAAAAAAGCCTCTGATGATCACGCAGCTCAGCTGGGATCATCAAAGGCTTTTAAAAGAAAAAAAACCCTTTTTTCGTTTTAAATGCCTCTGACGATCCAAGCTGAGTTGTCTGACTGGCAGAGACTTTTTTTCTTTTAAATGCCTCTGACGATCAGGCAACTCAGCTTGAATCGTCAGAGGCATTTAAAAGAAAAAAACCCTTTTTTTCTTTTAAATGCCTCTGACAATCCAAGCTGAGTTTTGTAAAAAGCCTCTGCCGATCAGGCAACTCAGCTGGGATCGTCAGAGCCTTTTGAAAGCATTTTTTTACAACCTCTTCGCCAAAGAGATTGTAGAAAAAATGGTTTTAAAAGTTAAAAAAAAAAAAAAAAAGCCACGCCCACCTAGTCACATTACCCACCACCACCACCAAGCCACACCCACAAAACCAGTAGTAACAAATTTTAGATTTCACCACTAAGCTAAACAAACTGACATAACCAATTAAAGTAGGGGTGGGGAACCATGGCCCTTTTTTGAGTTGTGGACTTCAACTCCCAGAATTCCTGAGTCAGCCATGCTATGAGTTTAAGTCCACAAGTCATAAAAGGGCCATGGTTCCCCACCAATGGTGGGATTCAGCTGGTTCAGGCCGGTTCGGGCGAACCAGTAGTTAAATTGCAAGCTGGCTCTGCCCCTTCCCACCCCGCCCCTTCCAGGCGTGCTGGGAGGCCTCCTAGGCCCAAAATGGGGTGCAGGGGGGTGTAGTACGCCCCCCTCCACGGCCTGTTTTCGCTCCCAGGAGGCTTCAGGGAGGCCTCCTAGGCCCAAAATGGGCCACAGGGGGGGGTGGCGCCTTCCCCCCCCACAGCCCGTTTTTGCTCCCAGGGGTGTGTAGGAGGCCAAGTGCTGCCTGTCACACCCCTTGGCCACGCCCACCATGGCCACGCCCACCCAGCCGGTCATTAGGGCAGAGAACCGGTTGTTAAAATTATTTGAATCCCACCACTGTTCCCCACCTCTGAAATAAAATATTTTCAGCTGTAGCAACACAATGCGAGCTCACGTCTGTCCTTCTGCACTCTTTTATCCTCAGGTTACGCCCAGCGTTTGCGAGAGAGCAGCTGGTACGATCCAATCATCCCTCCTCAGTATTCGGATCCTAACACACGATGGGGTGCTTTTCTATGGAAGGATAAGAGTATTCCTGGCAAAGAATATGGTAAGAAGCAGGATGGGGACGAAGGAGTGTGGGGAAAAACTCAGGCAGGTATGGTTTCATCAGAGAACGTGTAATCTAGGTTTTTTTTTGAATTTTTTTTTTATTTCTTATACACATATTGTAAATGTACATTCTCTTATCCATAATTGATCATTCATATATATATATATTTCTAACAAAAGCATAAAAATAAGACATTTTAATCACATTTGGGGTTGCTCTTCTACCCTCTCTTTTCCCTTTTTTCACAACAAACCACTTTCTCCTTCTTACTTTCCCCTCCCTCCCTCCTCTCCTCTTCTACTTTCTTCCTCCTCCTCTCCTCCCCTACTTCTCCTTCCTCTCCCCCACTCCTCCCCTCTTTTCCCCCTTCCTCACCTTCTCTCCTGCTCTTCTCCTCTATCCTTTCTTCCTCTCCTTCCCCTTTCTTCCATTCCTCTCTCTCCCTCTCCTCCTCTATCCCACTAATCCTCTCTCCTTTCTTTCTCCTTTATCATGCAATATTTCCCTTATCTGGTATCCGAGCAACTCCAATTTTCTAATAATATATACTTTCTTTTCAATTTCTTTCCCATTTTACCCAATCTATCATTTCATAATTGTACATTTATATTTATAATCTTTTTTCCCCCGCTCCCCCATCCCCCTTTTCCATTTACTCTGGTGTCATCTGAGTTTCTATTTCTTTTCTATTTTCTTTTCTATTTCTAGTGTAATCTAGTTCTTGTGTGTACAAGGGGAGATCTCAATCGCCCCATCCTACATACCTTTTTCCCAATTCTAGAAAAATGGATCATCCAGTGAAATTGATCTGGATTAAAAAAAAAAATTATCACACTACAGATAGGCCTTGATGTACGACCACAATGGAGTCCAAAACTTCTGTAAGTCGAGGACGACCTAATACCTTCACAGGTTAAGAATGGCCCCTTTTCCTATCACCTGCCATCTTGATGGTTTTTCTTTGAATTGCTGTTCTTGAACCTTGCGTGCAATAGGTGGGCGCCTTCCAGTGGTGAAATCCTCAGCGGAAAACCGTTTGCTGCCTGCACATGCGTGCCAAATGCGCGCTGTGTGTGAACATGTGCAATGCACACCAAAAGCACACTGCGAACACATGTGAAGTACCCATCAAATGCGCGCTTTGTGCCAAAAAAGGACGCTTGGAAAGAACAGCGAGGGAGGGAACAGCTGTGCTGCGCAATTTAACTTTGTTATAAAGCAGGATTTCCTGCTTTCTAGTGAATATAAACTGTGCGCAGGGGTGGGTTCTACTTACCTTTACTACCGGTTCGCAGTGGGGCTGCACATGCGCAGAAGCGTTTTGATGACGTCGGGGTCGGTGGGTGGAGCCTCCTGCTGGTTTTACTACCAGTTCTATAGAACCGGTGCGAACCGGGGGCAACCCACCACTGACCGTGCGGCACAACTGATCATCAGAAGTATGAACCAGTAGCTTTTTTTAACTACCAGTTCACCCGAACCAGTAGCTTTCTTTTCCTATTGGTTCACCCAAACCAGTAGCTTTTTTTTACTACTGGTTCGCCCGAACTGGTAGTTTTTATCACTACCAGTTCACGCGAAGCAGTGTGAATCATAGCATTTCACCCCTGGTGCTTTCTTTGACTCCCCCAAGAGACACTTCCAGGTGTCTCTTGGATGCTTTGAGATAACAGCTCCAATTCACAGGCCTTGAAGAGGTGTATGCAGAATATAGAATAACAGAGTTGGAAGGGACTGTTGGAGGTCTTCTAGCCCAACCCCCTGCTCAAGCAGGAGACCATATACCAGTGAGGCTAACCTTTTTTGGTTGGAGTGCCCAATGTGCGTGCCCAAACCCCCAAAATGCAATGTGGACATCCACCCGCATATGTACCTGGCCCCCCGCGCATGCACGTGCGACCCCTGCATGTGCCCCGAGCCTGCACACACGACCCCCATGCGCCCCACCCCCCTGCACAAGCACGTGGAACACCCCCCATATCCTCCCCGCAAGTGCCCCCCACATGCATGCAGGACCCCACATATATGCCCCGTGCATGCACATACGACCCCCTGCACAATTCCCACCCCGTGCATGCACGCATGGCCCCCCGCACATGCCCTACCCCCATGCATGCGCACGCACCCTGCCTCCCCGTGCATGCGTGTGTAACCCCCACCCCGTATCCTGCGCATGTGTGGCAGAGACCTAAAGACCAGCTGGTCAGCGGGAGGCGCGCACGCATGTGTGGCGGAGCTGAACTGGGGTGACGTCTCACATGCCATCAGAGAGGGCACTGCATGCCACCTCTGGCACGCGTGCCATAGGTTCGCCATCACGGCCATATACCATTCCAGACAAATGGCTGTCCAACTTCTTAAAAACCTCCAGTGATGCACATGAAAACAAGGAAATCCACCTTAATTTTTCCCGGGCTTCTTTTTAATCACAACCTCCCTTATTCTTTTTTTCCCAGTCATCAACCGCAATCGCTGTGCTGAGGAGCTGAAGGGAAAACCAGGCTACGTACCCCGCCTTTCTCTCCACACGCCGGTCTTCACAGCAAAGGACTATCGCACCTGGAGGATGTTCGGCCACCAGCCTTCGACCAACAACCAGTAAAGCTTCTTCAGATGCTTGACGCGATGTGATAATCCTCCTTCGTGGTGCAAGGTGGGGATAGCATCTCCCCTTTGTGCTCAGGGCCCATATGTCCTAGGCCCAGAGCCTTGGAGTGATGTGGCATGGCAGCGTAACCCCGCAGCCTGGAACACGTGGACGTGGCCAATTTGTTGCGACAGTGCTGTAAAAGGAGGGAGCCGAGAATGCTTCGCCCTTTTACCTATGTGTTTTGTTTTCTAATGAAATTGTTGGGCAGACAATTCTTCATGTACTTCTTTATACAGTGCAGAAATAACCGGTGGGACTCCCTGCCATGGAATAGCAATAGCAGTAGCGTTTAGATTTAATATACAGCTTCGCGGTGCTTTACAGCCATCTCTAAAAACAGTTTACAGAGTCAGCTTATTGCCCCCAACAACCTGGGTTCTCATTTTACTGACCTTGGAAGGATGGAAGGCTGAATCAACCTTGAAACGGTGAGAGTCGAACTGCTGGCAGTCAGCAGAATTAGCCTACAATACTGCATTCTAACCACTGTGCCACCATGGCCCTTTAGGATAACCCCCTACTTCAATGTTTTTTTTAAAAAAAGAAAGAACTAAGGAAAGATAGAAGAAATGAAGGCAAATGACACCTGATCATTGTGGTCGAAAAATGCCAAATAGAAGGCCTTTACAACTCCCTTTTGAGAAAATCATGGGAAGTAAGCCTGTGCATAAAATGAATGCAGGTTGGGATAATTAAGACATTTTCAATAACTCACCTTAACTGGTAGTGTTCTTAATGACAGCCTGGGAGCCATCTGTTGGGGAAGCGTTAATTAATATTCTTGTGCGGAGCGTGGGCTGGCAGTTGGACTTTCTAGGACATCAACTCTATGATTCAGTGACTCTTGGCTACATTCCCTTACCTTTTAGAGAAGAGCTCAACATACTGTACAATGCCAAGAGAGATAATTATGCACCTTCCCCCACACTAATAGACATATAAAATAGCTAAAATCTCAGTCAACGCTCATAATGTTTGCATTGGGATCCCCAGAGAATGCCGAACTCTGTGTCCGGTGAAAGCTTAAAATCTAGTAATAGTTTGGTATTAGTAATTGGTATGAAAATAATGCAAAGTTGGTGACCCATTTTAAGGCTGGTTTGGTGTTTTGAATGGATTGAGATGGGTTTTACCAACCTTTCCATCCCATTGTGGTTCTTTTAAGCATCTTAATCTACCCATTTTACCAATCCTAATATTCCCAATGGAACTGATTTTTTTCCACTTTTGGCAGTTTTTAGGAGGAAAATAGTTCGACACCATTTATATTTTTTTGGTTGTTTAAGGGTTCTTTAAAACTTAAGCAAGAATGAGGGCTGAAAATCACTAGCAAGAATCATGGTATTTACAGTTTGCAGTAGATTCGTAAAGGAAGCCGTGGTCTGCTCTAAACCTTTTAATGCTCGCTAATTAATATTACACCTTTCACACATCTGACTCGACTTTCTTCAGCAAGTTTTTTTCAGATCAAGGATTGCAATCCTGATTAAAACTGTACGAAGAGCTATTCTTTGTTAAGTGGATGGAGCCAGATAAAGAAGGACAAAATAAGAAATGGATAATGATCAACACTAAAATGATCACTCCTCTTTTGTCGTGGTCCTTACTACAAGGTTATATGCACACTTCCACTTGATCTATAACAGGGTTTTTCAAATTTGGTAACTTAAGATGTGTGGACTTCAACTCCCAGAATTCTCCAGCCAAGCTGGGGAATTCTGGGAGTTGGAAGTCCACACACCTTAAAGTTACAAAAGTTTTAAAAATACCGATCCATTCGTATTTCATATTTATTATTTTATATGTTAAAATGATTGGCACTTTATCTCTCTGCCTGAAAATGTATGTGTCTTAAGAGTAATTCTAAGCCACATTGAGATTTAAAGGGGGAAAAAAAAAAAGAAATATACCAGTATTGACTTCGGCTGCACAATATAGACATTGATGTAAAATGAAAGAAATAACATGCATTAAGGGTGTCGATCTAGTTTGTTTAACATAATGCTATTCACACAATGTATTCCAGCAAGTTTAATAAAAGAGAAATGCTACTTTGCATTATAAATAACTGGATTTAATTTATGCCCAAACGGCTGATATTTTAAAAATAAGATATATGTCATGAGTCAAAGTCCAATTTGTCCCTGAAAATGCTGGTTCTGGGTGTAGGGGAAGGGCAGACAGAGAAGGGGAGAGGGGATAATCCTTGATATTTTAAAACAATCTTTAACAGATTTTCAACTGAACGTAGAACTCAAGAGGGCCACATCAGGAACACAGCCATTCTTCTCCATCTGAAATGCCAGCGGGTTACCTCAAGCAGGATTTGAAGGGCCAGCCCTTTTCCCGGCTCAGCTCTTAACAGTTTCTACTTTGTGGTAGATCATGTTTGAACATAGAGACTCCACAGTTGCTTTCTTTAAACATTAATAACACCCCAACATTCTGAACTTTGGAGGTAGAGTCAACAGTAAAGGTGTCGGTGAAAGCATAAGCCTCTTAAACCACCCACTTATGCTAGTTACAAAAATATTACGTGGGTGCAAGATGATAAAACATACCTTCCCTGGCCTTTAAAAAAGAGAGGAAGGGGGAAAGGTAGAGTTTTTTTCCACACAGGAAGGTAGAGTTTTTTTCCACTAAAAGAGACGTGCTTCACTTTCCCCATCGTCTTTTACATGGAAATGTTAGGAATAAAAAAGTTACTAAATTTTGGCTTCTCAAGGCACACGATAGATCCATGGCGGGTCAGTCTCCAAATCTTGCATGGTGCACAGAAACCCTTTAAAAGTTATCTTTCTATATTCTCTACTTCTTGGGGGGAACCTCCCCCCTCTATTTCCAGAGAAGCTGGGGGGAAAAATAACCTTGAACAAATTCGACGTTGTAAGATCTTGCGTGGTTGAGCTTGACGATTGAGGACTGAGGAAAATTCTGTTTCTCCTTTAAGTTGTGATCAGCAAAAAAACAACCATCACAGAAATGTCAGTTTCAGCATCACCTAGCATAAATGCCTGGAACAGGATTATTCCTCAGCTTCGCTTATATCTAAATGGAAGAAAAAAATAAAAATATAAAAAAAACAGATACTAAAGGCCAGCTCAAGAGGTGTGATGAGATCTTTTAGACCAAGGGTAACATATTGCGTCAAGTGATAAGACTTTTTAAAAATTCTTATTTTCGTAGGACAGACATCCAGGATAGGACGGCGATATCAAATATTATGCATGGAAAAATATTACATAGGTGGAAGCAGTGATGGGATTCAGCCAGTTCGCACCACTTCGGGAGAACCGGTTGTTAACTTTCTGAGCAGTTTGGTGAACTGGTTGTTGGAAGAAATCATTAGGGCAGAGAACCGGTTGTTAAATTATTTGAATCCCACCACTGGGTGGAAGGTGATAAAAAGAAGTCCCTGGCCTTTAAAAAGAAGTCAAAGGAAGGAGAAAAGCTAGGTGTCCTCCCCACCACAATCTCCTTTCGCTTTTATCCTCTTCTTTTACAGGGAAATGTTGGGAGTAAAAATGCATGGAAAAAAAGAAAAAGCTCATTTTTGGCATACATTTTTAAAAAATGGTTTAAAACATTTCAGACTTAGCATCTTTTTGTCTGGCTGTATATCAGGATGGGATTCAAGCAACGGGAACAGGCAGCTACTCTACAGCCTGCCTGTGTGTGTTTGTGTGTACAGATAATCCTCAATTTACAACAGTTCATTTAATGACCTTTCAAAGTTTCAACGGCACTGAAAAATGTGACTTATGATCGTTTTTCACAGTTACGACCTTTGCAGCGTTCCCATGATCATTTGATCATAATTCAGATGGTTGGCAACTGGTTCATACTTATGACCGTTGCAATGTCCCGGGGTCAAGTGATCCCCTTTTGCAACCTTCGGACAAGCAAAAGTCAACAGGGAAGCCAGATTCACTTAACAACCGGGTTACTGACTTAGTGATTCACTTAACAACTGTGGCAAGAAAAATTGTAAAATGGGGCAAAACTCACTTAACAAATGTTTCACTGAACAACAGAAATTTTGGGCTCAATTATTGTTGTAAGTTGAGGACCACCTGTATATCTGAAATTTTTGTTTGCTGAGCTCAAATAGTTTAGTCCCAGATATTTGGGTCTAAATGAAGTTATCTCAGACAAGTTGCCAAGGTTAATTAACTGGGTTAGGAGATTTGCGCAATACAATAATCACATTTGACTCATTTAAATATATTGTGTAAATAAATTCAGGTCAGTTCTAACACAGGTGAGCACAGAACGAAATGAACTCTCAGTCATTAAATGCACAATGCAAGCCATTTTTCCCACTGTCCAAAACCAGATTGAAGTTACGCTTTTAGCCCTCCATCGCAAACCATCATCAACGGCACTAAATGAATCTTCACACTTGGTTGTTGTTGTTTTTTATTTTGGGGGTATGTGATTAAGGGAGGAAAAGAAGTAGCCGTATCCTTTGAATATTGCAATTATTGCCCCAAGGAACCAGGAGAGCGTGTCTAGACACACTCGGGCATCGGGCATTAAGGAAAGAAACACAGCTACTGAGTCACTGAGAGATTGAGCCAACAGTTGGCACTGTTCAACTTGAAGCAAGAGCAACAGCATTCAAACAACCAGAAGCAACATGGAGTTTGTAAGCTCTTTGTTTACCAACCCTAATATATATAAATAAATATTTCCCCCCCCCTTCTAAGCCACTATGTGAAATCGACTTCCCCAAGAAGCAGCAAGACATTTCTACATGGAAAGGTTCTTCCTTGTGGTGCCACTCAAAAGTCACCGTTGGATGTATTTGCTACATCTGCTTCGTGAAAGTGCCCATAGATTATTCCATTGGTCCTTTTTCTCACCTCTCTGAAGATTTCATCAACTCCATCCAACCACAAGTTACTCGATGTTCTCCTTTGTCCCTACCCACATTCCTTTTCTTCATGTAATTGGTTTGCAACCTAATTATCATTCATTATCTCTAGATGACCTAACCCTCTCAACATATTTCTTTAATGCTGGTCATTCCCTTTGGTATGTAGTCTATATTAATTGAGCAGCCGCTTATTCTTATCTCGTTTTCATCTCATATGTACTTAACCTCTTTATTTCCACAGCATTCAACTTCCTCCCTGCACCCAAACATAAACAGTACTCAAAAAGTGAATTATGGAGTCCTTAAATGTCTATGGAGATTCTCAGTCATCCAGGTCATGGTTGTCCCAAAGGTGCTTTTTTCAGAAGGCAACTGGACTTTCTGGTTTTTCTTTGAAGACGTTTCACTTCTCATCCAAGAAGCTTCTTCAGCTCTGACTGGATGGTGGGGAATGGAAGGATTTATACTCCTTGCAGACAGCTCTAACGACATGTAACCACTCGCTAAAAGAATACAAATGTCCAGCTGTCTGCAAGGAGTATAAATCCTTCCATTCCCCACCATCCAGTCAGAGTTTAACTAGGTAACTTGATCAATGCCCTGCAAGCAAAACAACCAAGCTCCGAGAGCACCAAGAACTCCACGGTTCAACCTTGAGCTACAAATATTCTCTGCTAAAATGAACTTCAGGTAGTCCTCGACTTACAACCATTGGTTTAGTGACTATTCGAAGTTACAATGCACTGAAAAAAGTCACTCATGACTGCTTTTCACACTTATATCCATTGCAACATCCCCATGGTCACGTGATCAAAATTTGGGCCCTTGACAACTGCATGTATTTATTATGGTGACAGTATCTTGGGGTCACTTGATCACTTTTTGCAACCTTCTGACAAGTAAAGTCAATGGGGGAAACCAGATTCACTTAACAACTGTGTTAGTAACTTAACAACTGCAGTGATACACTTAACAACTGTGGAAAGAAAGTGGGTATGATCAGTGGTGGGATTCAGCCAGTTCGCACCTATTCGGGGGAACCGGTTGTTAACTTTCGAAGCAGTTCGGAGAACTGGTTGTTGGAAGAAATCTTATTTTGTTTTTTTCCACTTTACAGGGCTAATCCTGTAGGGAAGGCAGGAAGGAAACATTCTGGTGGTGTTTCTATCCTAATCTTTATTGCCCTGCTTACAGAAACTGCCTCTCTGGTTTATTTATTTATTTATTGGTTCAATTTATATGCTGCCCTTCTCCGGAGACTCAGGGCGGCTTACAATGCGTTAAGCAATAGCCTTCATACTTTTGTATATACCTGCTTAGTAGGGCTTTCGCCCCACCCACCCCCAAGCGGTGTTCTTTTTTATACAAAGTCAGCTTATTGCCCCCACAAACCGGGTCCTCATTTTACCTACCTCGAAAGGATGGAAGGCTGAGTCAACCTTGAGCCCGGTGAGATTTAAACTTGCAGTAATTGCAGGCAGCTGGTGTTACTTAACAGCACTTTAGTCTGCTGCGCCACCAAGGCTCTTTTGGTTAACCCTTATTACATTGTAACAGCTAAGGCGAAGCACCCATCGACTTGAGTGATGTTGAGTTGGCCACGCCCACACGGTCACATGACCACCGAGCTACACCCACCCAGCTGGTCTTTAGGGCAAAGACCCGGTTGTTAAATTATTTGAATCCCACCAGTGGTATGACCCATACAAATGGGTCAAAACTCACTTAACAACTGTCTTGCTAAACAATGAAAATTGGGGGTTTAATTATGGTCGTAAGCCAAGGACTACCTGTATATAACTGTTCTCCCTCCTCAATCTCAGTACCCATCCCACCCTGCCCCTAGCCCAGTGTTTTGTTATTTCTGCAAGAAAGACTGCGGTAGAAAAGGGAGGCTCTGCTACATTCAGGAGAGAAACCTCTACATTACCAGGTAAGCTCACTTCCCAAGAAGGGTGGATTGGCTGCAGGTTTTGCCAAACATCTTTGGTGCACTCTATTATCTTTTAATCTTTCCACCATCTACCTGTTAATGCTTGTAAAACTGTAGACACTGCCTGAAGGCACCTGACCTACACACAGGCACTCAAGAGTCTTACATGGATTTTGAACTTTCCTATTTAAGTCAAGCCCAACAGCGGGGATTTAAAGAACTGAGATGCTTTAGCAAGCTAGGTGAAGTAGAATAAAACTTGGGCTCATTTCCTGAAACAGCCAAACTCTTGCAGGTTGGATGTTCTTCCCAGATAACTAGTGCGGCTGCCGACTGGGAGAAGGTGGCATGAGTTCAAGCAAAACCAGCAAGTGGTACGGGCGCATTCTTTCTCTCTGATGCAATTCTGCCTTCAGGTAGTTGGTGAAGATGGTATCCTAAGCCTTTGATGTTCCAGATTTTCTCAGATTTTCTATTTTTGCCGTGCAGGTTGAGGAAAGCACCTTTTCAAACCTACCCGTATTGCTGAAAAAAGCCGCAATACAGTGATGGCTGTTGGTATTTGTATTCTGATATTGTAGAGCGGTATTTCTCAGCTTTAATAATTTTAAGATAGGGGTGTCAAACTCAAGGCTAAGGGGCCGGATCTGGCCCGCGGGGCCACCCTGGAAACAGTGAAGGCAAGAGCAGCTAAAGCAAAACAGACGACTCGGGAGTAAGGCCAGGACATGATTGGCCCCTCCCATAAGGCTTAAAAGAGAAACAAAGGCACTTGGGCCTTTTGCAGGAAAGCAAAGTTGCTAACTCTGTTTCCAGTCGGCATCTCTTGTCTGTTTCTGAACTTCATGGGGCTTTACCAAGTAAGGCCTTTGGCAAGGTGTCAAAGAAGAGAAAGGTTGGTGATTATCCCGAAGGACTTCTTCCGAAGGACTTGTTTTGCAACTAACTGGGACTCAGCTGGGAATGAATGTAATTCTCAGCTGTTACAATAAAATAGGTTTTTGGGGGGGACTAATTGTGTATTGTAATGACTCAGTAAGCCAAAGTCACAACAGTAAGGAGGATGACCAGACAGAGATATGCAGGCTCTGTTGCCTAGACAAAAGGGCCCAAAAGAGTCCTGTTGTTATGTTCAGAAGTGGCTCAGATAAACAACACCCAATTCACTGAACTATAAGAGGAACAGATACGGCATCATCAGACTTTCGAGATGCTATTATTATAGCGCTACTCAAT